CTGTCAGAGCAGGGGGTTTGTTGGTGCAACTGACGACAGTTGCCATTTCTACCACAGCAAAAGCAACCCCCTTTTCTCCATCTGTGTCCTCATTCTTGGGAGGAGGGGCGAGGTAGATGGTGCCTATGTCCATGGGCTCTTCCTCTGGGGATAGTAAGGAAGGTGGAGCAAAACATGGTGGAGGTCTGCATATGCTCTTCCTGACAGAGCTAGGTGCTTCTCCAGTGGTAGGCCTGTCTGACAGGCTGCCCCAGGCTCTGGGGTAGGCCAGTCCTAGCCATCTCATTTTTGAGGGCCTCAGGCAGCCCTAGACTTTAGAGGGCCGTAAGGGCTTGCTCTTCACACTCAGTTTCCACAATAAACTCCGTGACCTGAATTGTGTAGTTAGTGGCCAACTACTTCCCCTGCTGGAGCTCCAGCAAGGCAGCCTTGGCCACTGTACAGTTGCGGTCCCCCAAAACCTGCTCCAAATCAATGAATAAGTCCTCAGGTTTTGGAGCACAGGGCCATTGTCTTCCACATGGTCCCAATCCACTCCTGCGTTTCCCTGAGCGTTGGGAGATTATTACTCCTGAGCATCTAATGTTCCTTGGGATATACAGCCCCTGGATAGGCTGTAAAGATTAGCCACATCTGACTAGTAAATCCTGATACCATTGTCGAAGTCCCCACTGAATCGTTCTAGAAGTTGGGGAGCAAGAGATGCTGAAGCAGCCTGAAAGGCTGTGCCACACCTCTCCGTGCTGACCATAGCTTCCTGCAGGATTCTGAGGTTAACCTGCAGCTGATGGGCAGCCGGAAGACCAGGCTCCATGACAGTCAGCTCTGGGCTTGAGATGGCCCGAGCTACCTGTGAGGAAGCAGCAAGACTGGGGCTGCTCTGCAAGGGATGACAGTCAAAAGCCGAGGGAGACCATATCACACAGGGATGGTGATCTCACCAACCAGGGCACAGCACCCACGCAGGGCAGCCTGGTGACAGTAACAGATTCTGCTGACAGCCCAGTGACCACCAGGTAAACATGAGACGGCAGGTCAAGTCCAAGTGCCATTCCTGAAATCCAGTCAAAAGGAGCTGCAGGGCACAGGGCTAGGCACATGCCTGCCATCAACACAGCTTAGGAAAGGGCTGGAGGCCAAGGTTTGAGCATAAATGGAGCTACCCCCGCAGCTAAGCTGGCAAGTGCACACTGGCATGTACCTGAGGCTCCAGCTTAACTCCAGCGCAGTCTGGAGAGGAGAACATTAACATAAACTAAGCAGCCACAGGAATCAGCTCCAATTATCTTGCACCTTCTAGCTGGAGCTTAAAACCCAGGCCAAATATGTCTTGAAGGTGTTAACATCAATGACCACAGATTATTTTCACACTCTCCAGGCCCTTCAGTCACTCATTGCTACACCCATCCTGAAAAAGTTGCATAAAGATTTAGGAAAACTTTTAAGTGGTGGGGAAGGAGCACAAATACAGGAACAGGCAAGAGAGACGATAAATTCAGGCTTGCCAGATCTTCTGACATGAACAGCAATGTTGGAAATAGGGCCTGTGTGACCACCCGCTCTCTATCCACAATGAATAACCATTATAGCATCCCAACTTCCTGATTAAAGACAAGGACAGACTTTGTTTGTGGATTTTTGTTTGTTTTACTTTAAATAAAAGCCTTATACCGAGACCTAGGTTGCAGTCCTAAGCAACAGAAAGACTGGTCTCTCTGTTGTGAAGTACTAAATGTGAAAATGCCTGAAACTTTATCTTAAATACAAATTGCAGAATTTGGACTACAAAATTGTATTTTATGGATAAAACTGGATTTCAAAGAATGAGGAAATCGTATAGTTACTCAATCCATTTTCAGACTTAAAGTTCAACTGTATGGATTGCGTGTTATTGGAAACCAAACAGAACAACAAACTAATAAAGATGCGCTAAAAAGAAAAGTAGATGAAAAAAATCAGATATTCCTTGACCAAAACCAGGCATTACACTTGGGAAAAAAGTCCAATTACTGTCACATGTGCAGTCACTGCATTAGGAGAAAAGTATCCCCCAGCTAAACTATTCAGAAAAATTATACCAAAAAGTTGCCACTAAAACAAGCAAAATAAAATCTCTCTGCCTGCTCCGGATTACCTTTTTTAAAAGCGTGCTGTCATTTAGAATGAAACGTTAAATAAAGGCGATATCATTCAAGTCTCTATAAACCAGAAACTCTCAAAGTAAAATTACATCCTTAAACAGTGCAGGTAACTGCACAGACATAGAACTTCAGCACTAACATTTTTGCCCAAGGTAGTCTGATGTCCTTGATTCTAGTCTCAGCATCCTCCTGCTCACACACCTGTACGCTTGTTTATGACACCCAGTGTGACGACATAATGCAATTTAAGTACAATAAAAGGTCAATAATTTTAAACCCATACCATTCATATCCCTAACAGTGTTGGTTTTTTTAAACAGTTGGTTGTACTGTGCAATTCTCTCCATACCTCAGCTGAGATAGCTTTTACTTAAAAATTACTGATTAACATTTTAAATAAATAAAAATAAAGCTGCGCCTGTCTTATCCGTACAAATCCACATTTTGTAAATTGAATCAGCCATACTGTACAGTATTAAAATAAAATGTGCAATAATTTCCTAGTAAGTTACTGCCATTTAACTATGCATTTTTCCAAGGCATGGTACACAAAAGAACTCCTACAATGGCAGATCAGCCTACCACATGAAAATGTTAACCTTCTAATGAAGAGAGTGGGACATGTTTTGCTCGTTCTTTGTGTTGGGTGACATAAGGCAGCACAAGAAGCATAACAAGGAAATTCACGTGTCCCAGGTTCTTCATCATAGTCACAATGAATACTGGTCCCCTATACAAATGACAGATACAAAGCTGTAAAATATGGGAATATAATTTTATTGTGTTAATCTGCATATGTATTGGTACAGCTGTTCTGTGAATGCTTCTGAAGAAAATTTTTCCATAACTGTGGCTCTCCCAGCTGCTCCCATTGTATCCTTTAAGAGAGGATCTCTCACAATTTTTTCCATGGCCTCAGAGAATTGCGTTGGCAGAGGATCACACAAAAATCCTGTAACGTTATGCAAGATTGATTCTAAAGGACCGCCTGAATTAACTGCTATAACTGGACATCTCATATACATTGCCTCCAGAGGAACAATGCCAAAATGTTCATTGCTTGGCGTATAAAGCACACATACGGAGTTACTAAAAAGAGAGACTTTCTGTTCATCTGAGAATGATCTCAGAAAAGTGACATGGTCATTAACACTAAGCTTGGCTGCAAGTCTCCTCAGCTCTTCATAGTGCTCCACATTCTCCAGAACTCGTTTATCATAACCACCTGCCATAACCAGGTGAACTTCATTCCACTCATGAGAATCCAGTCTTCCTCGAAGCTCATGCAAAGCTTCAAGGGCCAGTGCTAGATTCTTTTTTCTCTCATACCTATTAATGGAAAGAAACAAGAACTTTTTCTTTTTGGGTATCAGGTCAGTTATGTCCCCAGGAACTACTGCTTCAAAGCTACTGATATTGAGCGATGGGTAGAGGACATCTGGGTTTATGTGAGATAAAGACTTAAACGTGTCCTTGAACACGCTGGCGGTGAACCTGCTGTTCACAACAACGCAGTCTGCCATGCCAGTCGTGTACTCTCCCAGCCAGTCGAGCGGTAATCTGTAGACGCGCTTTAGGAAAGAATCTCTCTTGGTCAGAAGCTGATCAGGAAAGTGACAGTAAAACAAAACCTTCTTACGGGTTCTGGCCAGTCTAAGTACAGGAATGCAAGCAGACACCTAGTCCACCCAGGAGAGACAGGACAAGAGAAGACGTTCATTATTTGCATTAGGGGTGCTGGCGTGTACGTCTGATTTCAAAGCCATGCCCCGAGAGCCAGCCCTTTGCAAGCCAAGGGCCTTCTCCCTCTCCCCTCTGCAAGCGCATCAAGCTGCACCCCCTCGCCCGCGACCTCTTGCTGCGGCTCTGGGTTTCCTCCCTCACCTCGGGCCTGCGAGGCCGCCGAGACCCCTTCCCCGCCCCGGCCCCATCAAGCCGCGGGGCCTCCCCACGCACCTCCTCCTGCCCAGGCCCCACCACCCGGGGAGCCCAAGCGGCAGCGGCCCCCCCCCCCCCCCACCCCC